AATTACAACACTCCATCAAAACAAATTGTGACTTTGTCTATAGCTGAGGTTTGCACCATTTGCTGGCTTCCAATTGCTGTAATTGGGACAGATTTTTAAAGTAAACAAGAGAAAAGGTTTCAAATAAAACCAAAATTTCATAATGCAAATTAAAGCAAGCTTAACCCATCAACAAGCTTCCAGTTAAAAACTTAGGTGTTCAAGATTTTAAATAAACAATACATAACAGAAGTTATGCGGTTTTCCCATATATGTATGTGGCTTAGGTACATCCATTCCTATTAAAACAGGCATGGAAAGGACAAAGGTACAAAACAGCTTCAGAAATCTCAGCCATCAGCTTTTGAGTTGTTTCCACTCCTTCCACGGAAACAGGATTTTGTATCCTTGAAAAATAATATAAGGTGGTTTATGGGTTTAATTAATAACCTTGCCTTACCTTACCGCCATGGAAACTGGGTAGAAAATTCCAATGAGTATAAGAACCCCTTCAACATTAACTACAATGCAATGTAAATAGGGTATTCTGATCAATTACATCGCTTCCCTGAATGGTGGTAATAATAATAATAAAATAAGAAGAAGAAGAAGAAGACGACGACAATGAAAACTGTTATCCTAGTTCTAGGTTGGGAAATTAACATTAGGGATGTTAGATATCAATTAATTTAATAATCGTGTAACCGCATCAAATCTCAGAGGTTACACGACTGTTCAATGGTCCCCAGGGGCAGGGGCAGCAGCCAGTATGCTCCCAGCCCCACTCCCTGAGAGCCCCTGATACAAAGGCAGCAGGGTGGGATGGCAGCAGCCCTGTCTGTGGGGGAGAGGAGGCAAGTTCCTGCAGACAGAGACTCCACCAACATCTCATGGAGCAGCATCTGTGTGCGGTGAGCCTGGGCCTGCCACAGACAGAAGTTGCTGGCTCTCCAATTCCCCTCCCCTCGCTGTTACCTCTTAAGCCAGCTCCCGTCTCTACCTAGTCCCACCCCCTGCTGCCTCTGCAGGAGACAGCAAGGGAGAGGGCAGGCAGCTTCACGGAGCCAGCATGCATGGAGAGCCAGCTTAAAAGCCAGCTCCCCCACGCATATTGGCTCCCACCTGCACCCACCCCCTGCACTGCTACCTCCGATAGAGAGGCAGCAGGTATGAGGGGAGGGAAGCAGCTCCACGAGATGCGATTTCCGTTGGCAGCCAGCTTTCCACATGTACCGGCTCCTGCCTGCCCCCTCATCCTCTGCGCCGCTGCCTGTCTAGCAGAGGCAGCAGCACGAGGGTGGGGAAGGCAGGCGGCTCTGTAGGATCCAGTGTCCACACAGGCACCAGCCCTGCCTCCCCTCTCATTGCTACCTCTGATAGAGGTAAAAAGGGGGAGGGAAGTGTATATAGTTGATGGGATTAATGATAAAACCAGGCTTATCAGTTAATCGTGTAGCCAACTACACACTGACATCCCCCCTAATTACCATGATACTGGCATACTCGGAGGGAGGAAGGTTATCTCTTTTATATCTTCTCCTGTCAAAAAATAATACAACAAATGACATGAGGGAGGAAGGTTATATTCTCCTGTCAAAAAATAATACAACAAATGACAATAGCCTGGAAACAGGACTTCCAGTTTTCAGCACTGACAGAAAGAAAAATGTCAATAGTATTAAGTAAGCAGATGTTCTACACTAAAACTCAGATTAGGAGACATTATATACCACATAGCTTATTTCCCACTGTAATACTGACACATACGCCCACAAATGTTGTTGCTTCTACCCCAACCATAAAATTAGTTTTCAAAAAAATCAAGTCCTTTTTTATTTTAACCCAAACATTTGCAGGAGTAAAATTTGATCAAACTGCAATCACTTTTGCAGTACTTTTTGAGGAAGCTCTTTATATTCATGCTGACCTCTCTGAAGAAGATTTTTCCTGCCTATATGTATTTCCATATTCTGGTAATGTTTTGCCCATGTCCCACAAAGATACATTTGAACTTCAAGACTAATACAATGCCTGATGTATACTGACACTGGACTCTGTATAGCAAAAAGGCTACCCAACCTGTTTGCATCATCCACATCAAGTTCTTCTATACTCTGTCAAGAATAGTTAAATGACTATATGCATTTGAATATACCATAAACAATTTTTGCTGCAGTTAATAAAGATATTTTAGGAAAGGGAAACAGTACACTCCTGTCTTACAAATGTCTGGAACAATTCAGTAGACAGGAAACACCATATGGCACAATTAAAGAGCTATACTTATTAACCCCAACAGAAACAAACCATGCAACTACCATTTTAAACATTAACTGAAACCAATTATTTTTTTGAAGTGTCAGTCTGAAATCAGTGGTTTGCCTCACCGTATTACAAATGTGAGTAAAATATACATATTTATAATACAAGAAAAACACCCAGGATCTTATTCCCCCGCAGAAGCTCCCAACTTTTCCCAAGATGCTATTAGCAGCAGGGACAGTGCTGGCACTAAGGGACATAAAAACCAGCGTTGCTAAAAACATCTTACTTTCCTAACCTAATGAGGACCTATATGGAATACACAAGAAGCTTTCATTGCTGCTTCATTCAGACCTTCCCAGTTATCCCTGGTTTATTATTTTTATTATCATCATGCCCAGACATCCAAGTAATAGATCAAGATTTCTTGCGCTATGCACTATACAGAACAGAATCTCTGCCCTAGTCTTCCCTTTGATCGCTTGTTAAGTGAGAGAATAAGTAGCAACACTGCCCTTACCCAGGACTTACCCAACCCTGAGATATGACCCCTCTTCCCTGTAGGAGAAAGACAATGTAGAGCTCACTAGCAGCTCTATCCCTCACCATTTCTCAGTTGTTTATTAGTTTAGTTTAACTTAAGGGAATTAAACATTCTTCCCTAGTTTCTTGCCTATGCTGACAGATCCTCTTAAGTGGAATGGGGACACCTGCTATTCCAATCTTACCATCCTACTCTATGGATCCCTTGCTCTTGGTAATGGATTTCTTCTTGACTACACAGTTCAGACAGCTATTTGTGTATCAAAACAGCAGCAGCTGCAGGTTTTCTTCACTCTGCAGTCTCTGCTGCTTCCTGGTGCTGAACCTTAGCCCTCATCTCTTGCTAACAGAAAGAAATGACATGTGCTTTCAGGAAAGCAGGCCCAAATGACCCCAAATTCTGTTAAATTTTAATCTTACTCATAGGAAGATTTAAAATAGTTAATCACCTTGCTTTTACTTATCAAGAAAATGAGCATAAAAAATATAGGGCAACAAAGCTTGACCTTTGTTAGTCCTTTGCTCTTATTACAGCACCACACTATCAAATGTATTAGGAATAAATGTTACAAAAAAATGAAAGCATGTAATGGAAGTTTAAGATGTTAAAGTCTATTTCTACCTACCATCACAGAATCAGTGTGTCAAACTCACAGGACTGACCGGAAACTTGAGAGGTGATCTTGTCCAATACCTTTCACTCATATAAACTCATAGGACTGACCGGAAACTTGAGAGATGATCTTGTCCAATACCTTTCACTCATAGCAGGAATTAATATTATTGACACTATCCCTAACAAGTGTTTGTCTAACCCAGCGGTGTACAACCTGTGGGTCACTACCCCCTTGGGTGTCACATCTGTCTTCCTGGGGGGTCGCAAGGCTTGGATCCAGCCGGCCACTTTTCCTAGCTTCTCAGCTTGACATCAGACGTATACGCAGCGAGGGGCGATGGGAGAGTGGCCACAGCCCAACAATTAAAGGGGCCGCTTCTTTTTTTTTTTTGTTCCACCAAATTCAGTGGGCCCCATGGGGATCGTGAAGGAAAAAAGGTTATAGACTATTGATCTAACCCTCATTTACTCTCCAATATGAAAGACTCCAGAACTTCCATAAGCCATTTATTCCAGTTCTCAACTACCAGAATGGTTTCTCTTAATGTTAAACCTAAACCACCAATATAAGCCTACTGTTTTTTGGCCTCTAAGCAGAAGATCCTTTTTTCTCTCTCCTTGTAACTAAAGCCTTGCATGGACAGAAAATTGTGCATCTTGCATCTGTATCTGCAAAAATGAGCTGCAGTTATCCACATCCATGGATGCGGAGACCTACAGATATAAAGTGCAGGTTTGCAGGGTTCTAGATAAAAAAAAAATGCGTATCCACATCCATACCTGCAAACACGAGCCACAAATATCTGCAGATTTGCAGGGCTCTACTTGTAACAATCCTTTATGGACCTGAAAATGCTATGTTCCCTTCTCAGTCCTCCTTTTTCCAGACTAAACAAATCCAATTTTTCAATCTTCCCTCACAGGTAATCTTTTCTACATCTTTAATCATTTTTGTTGCTCTCCTCTGTACTGTCTCTCATTTGTCCACAACTTTCCTGAAACGTGGCACCCACTGACTTAGAAAACCAAAAAAAACTGTGCAATGTCTTATTCAATAGCTTCCCAAGAGAATCTACCATCACCGTATTTTATTCCCAATAATGGATTGGTCTGTTCTATAATATCAAATAGTTGTGTTTAATCATTATGCTTTTGCACTTTAAGGACAAATGTAGCTGAAGTAACTTGAGTCCTAGGTACACAATGAAAAAAGTTGGTTTTTTTAAACTTGATTAGCTTAACACAATCAGTACTCCCCTCTCCAAATACCTACGTACCCTCAGTTTATCGCCTTAGAAATCAGTTAAAAGTACTGTAAAATTGGAAACCTCCAATAACATCCAAATTGATACTCATGTTAAGCTAACAATTTTAAAAGCTATTTTTTTAAACACACAGACATCATCTCAGTGTCAAGGGAGCTAACCCTTGTTATAATAAAGTTTAATAATATGCTATAGTCTTCAAAAGAGCAAGCATAGTTCAAGATCTAAGACACACTTTTAGTGTGCCACTTATTTTAGAGTTAGAGCTTTCTAGAGCACAAAAAATAAAGAGTATTTTATTCAGAAACACAACTTAAGAAAATAAACTGAAATACCTTACTGTCAAGTTTTAGCATGACTCTTCCAAGCCCTCTGATGGGCCGTGGAGCAAGAGCCTCCTGCCGCTCCTTCACAAAGTTTTCCAGAACATGCCACCAACAACTGCAGCGTTTTGCCATAAAGTTTACAACGCCAAAGTGCACCACAAGTTTTTTAAGAACCCAAACTGTAAGGAAAAATAAAAAAAGAGGAAATAAGGATTAAAGATTTCAGAGATGCTCCATGTGTTTTTACCCCACTGTGAAGTTAATTCAAATTGTTTTAATTCAAACTCCTCGTCAGAAACTGTACTAAATATCTTCAACTTTTAAAAAATAGCTGGTCATTCACATGCAGAATAACACATTCAGCCATTTTAAGTTCAGACTAGGGATGTAATATGGTAGTCGATTGCATCTTGTGCCACAGACTACACACATTTCCCTCTCCCTGCTAGTAAATCTTTTAGCAGGCTGGACAGCAGCCTGGCTCAGTCCTGGCTTGTGAGGTCCGGGACCTACCCATGCTGCAACTCGGCATTTAAAGTGTACTAGGAGCTGGGCAGGGTCCCGGCTCACACAGGGTCTGCGACCTACCCCCCATTTCAGCTGTGCTTTTCAAGTGTGTTAAGAGCCAGGCGGGCAGGCTCAGTTCTGGCTTACGCTGGGTTCAGGAGCTCAGACCCCCACTGGACAGGGACTGCTGCCACTCCTCTCT